TTTTTATACTTTTAAAACATTATCCTTGTTAATGTTTATAAGGTCGGCTTACTTCTACAAACTTCATAATTAGTGAATAAATTAGTCCATCAACATGAAAAACACAACGCAAAAGACAACAATGTACCATTTACTTGAGTCAAGTGGTTCACTTATCCCAAATAAAAAATCCAGTTCAGCAGTTCCTGGACAGAACTCAATTTATTTAGTCAAAAATTACACACATTTCCATGTTTGAGTCAAAACATGACCATAAAAAAAATGACATTGCCTTGGACGGAGTAAATATTCAATGCAACGATGATACTATGTTTGCATTGACACGGTATATCATCAATCAATAATAAATCACCAAATGGATAAAGTGAATTTTACTTGGGTAATTATTGGTTTACATGAAAAAAGAGTGGGTAGTTATTAACTTATATAAACAGTTAGTTATTGGTTCGTGTGAAGTCTATTTTTTTATTTATTTACACATTATTGGTTGGTAATACCACGTAGCAATATTGACGTGGTATCATCGTGGTTCGATATAGGGTACCCACTATAGTACATTGTACGTTCATCTACGGACCAAAATCTACTGATATATTATTCAATGAAAAACTAGTCAGATAATTATTTATATGATACACAACTCTATTTATAGGGATAAAATATTATAACTCAATACAATTTAGATACTGCTAAATCTTTATATTTCACATCAGGTTACTAATAAACCATTCCATGATTTATTAGGACTCTTCCAATAAGTTTCATATTCCATTCAGAATTCTCACATTGATTACTCAATACACTCTCATAATTAGAGAGTTTTAGACAAATTTCAACAGCCTCACTTGAACCAAATTCTTCAAATTTTGTAATGGCACCAAATGAGTAAGTGAACCTCACTTAAGTAGTTATTTGCTTACATGGAAGAAGAGTGTGTAACTATTAGCTTACATGGATGAACAATTATTGATTTGTATACGGACAATTTTTTTATTTGTTTACACATTATTGGTTGTTTACTTAGCTTAAGAGAGATTGTTGAAAAGATAGTAAAGAAAGGGGAGCTTACTGTAAAAAATTTTGTTTTGTTAATTTTTTATGTGTTCAAAAAGAATGAAAAAACTCTTTGGGTATCAAACTGGGCCTTCTGTGCTAGGCTGGAATCCCCTCTCTGGGCCATTAGGGCCTTGCGGTTATACATACCGGGGTGTTGGGGGACTGAGGTATCCCACATCGGATAGCTTTGGGTGTGTGTGTTAATTTAAATACTCCACTTGGCACTTCCTCTTTTAAGAGGTTGTGTTAAGTGTGTGTTCAAAAAAAAAAATTTTGCACTTGTTTTATTTTACAGTTGTTAGCTTTGTTTGTATCAAGCAATAACGAAGGGGGAGAACTATACAAGTGAATGTTGATTGTTGAATCTAGTTGTTCTTGAGCATAAGTATGATTGCATTGGTTAAATATGTTTGCAGAGATTGCTTCCTTTTGCATATTGCTTACATATTTATACCTTATTACTCTTAGTGCTTTCACTAAGATCTACCTATGATTATGTTTTGTATTTAATGTAAAGTAAATAAAGAAGACTGTTTTGCACTTGGATGTGAGATTGAGTGATTGTATGCTTGAACGTTGAGATTAGGTTTACAATTTGATTTTTTTTCAATGATTTTTAAGTTGTAATCTTTAAATTTCTTACTCTTGAATTTGGCCACGAAATTGTCAAAGTGAAAGATTGTTAAAAAATTAATCATTGTACTCGACTAATTATGTAAAGTCACAATGAAATTGATTGAGCTATCGTGCCGCAGTGGATTTTCGAAGTGAAGATATAAGAGATAAATCATCTAACCATGAAATTGGTTGAGTTATCGTGCCGCAGTTTTTTCTCAAAAAGTTTTCACGTTAAATTTGTCATGAGTTTTGATTATTTTTCTCTTCGTTACTTTAGCACACGCACTTGTAATTTTACGCTCACTTGGTGTTTGATGATAATGGATAAGTTAATTCACAATTAAGTTTTGGAGGGATAAGTTTGGTGAATTGAGCATTGTGCATGATCATTGAATTTAGGAAATTTGCATTCATCCATCCAATGGTTTGAGCATCTAATTAGGGTTTTTGAACGTTAATTGACCAGTTAATTAACAATTAAATAAACTAAATTTTTAATTGAAGATAATTTACATAGCGAGTGTTTAAAACCTATTCACCTCCATCTACCTACGTCAATCTAGTCAATGCTTCACGTGTGTAACAATTGTGCAGGGTGATTCTCTCTCTCTCTCTCTCTCTCTCTCTCAATAAACGATAAATAACTAGGAATAACTGGCTTTGCAGTCACTGTAACACTCAGTCAACAGGTCTCCAACCAAATCCCCTAATTTAAAAAAGCAGAGCACAGATGTTTACAAATATAGGTGAATGATGTAGACATTGCAATTCCCTAATACTACAAAAGCCAATAAGACCAACCATTCATATGATTTTTCTAGTTATTTTTGGACAAAAAAAATATTAAAAATACCACACTTTTTTTTATATCTACAATCCTTAATCTAACATACTCCCAAGGGAGGCAAAAAAAAAACCAAAAACGACCCTTATGCTACTAGTAAAACTCAATCCTAGATCGTGTGTTACGTGTTTTGGAGATGGATAACTCTTTAATCAGTCAAATAAATCCACTTTACTCGTAAACAACAATTTTTTCAAGCATGTGAGGATCATATCCCACCGGACATGCTTTGATTTTTCTTTTCCAATCTAGTGTGGGATTTTATAGGGTTCAATTGGGGAAAATTTCACCAGAACTAAACTCTCTTAAATGTCAATTTCTAGCCCATTATTGATAATAGATTTCCATTGTTGTCTACAATACACATGCAAATGCAGTTCTCACCATACCAAAATTTCTAAGCTCTCTCTCTCTCTCTCTCTCTCTCTCTCTCTCTAAATAACCATTTTGGTCTAGCCTCACATGAGAATCATCAGCGACAAGAAAACAACAGAATCACCAGAGGATCTCCACTAACTCCGATGTTACTCTATTCCATATATTTATTTATATTTGTCCTCCAAGACTATTTAGACACCTTTTCCTCCATAGACCCCACAATGTTGATAAATGGGCAATTAAAACAGGAAACTCAATACACGAGGCTCTCGTCACATTATAATTTGAAAAAAGCTAGATACATACAATCTTACCTATAGTGCGAACATAGACTATTTCTGCAACTCAACTTTACTGTTGCACTAAGATCCTCTAATATACTTTTCTCCCATTTCTCTCAGTGGTAGAATATTCATCATGAACAGGGGAAAACACTCATTTAATGGTAAATTTCACTTAAATTCACGGCGAATGATCTATCAATTGTAGGTTGCAGTCACACTTTGGTATTGCAAGTATAAAAAAATGAAGCACATGTGCCACTACCATAATTACAAAACCATGCCAAAACAGAGGGGCACCAATACCCATAAAACTAAAGGCCAAGGACATATTTAAATCTGAAAGAGGGTAGAGACTGAAAGTGAAAGGGGGGAGGTGGTACCCTGATACCATTCAAATGGTGTCAGCACCCATGTGACATTGTGGTTGTGGCCCTCCTCCCCTCATGTCCACCTAAAAGAAACCACAAAATGAGACAAAAGAGTCCCCTAAAGTAACCTTTATTCACAAAAAAGAATACCCTTTTTTCTCAACTCATCCCCTCTTTTTTCTTTTTTTTTTTTAAGCCCTCAACACCTTTTCCAGTCTCAGAAGATACAATCTAATGGACTAAAAAGCCTGTGTAATTACAGGAACCCGGCTTCTCTCTCTCTCTCTCTCTCTCTCTCTCTCTCTCTCTCTCTCTATATATATATATATATATATATATGCTACAGCACCTTTGAACTCCCTGCTCTGCTGTTCTTGCACACATTAGTCTTCCTATTTTACGGAGACTTCTAAACCCTGTTTAATTTACATCTCAAAAACTTCGGCCAGCTTTTTTTGTTTTTGTTTTTGTTTTTTAAAAACTAAGAACAAAAAATAAGTGAATTTAGAAAACAAGTTATAATTATTGTGTATCTTTTAAAAAAAACGTTTCAAGGATTTAAAAAACACCACAACCACATTTCTATTTTCATTGTTTTCTGGATTACTATCCAAATAAATTTTACTATTTTTTCTTTTGTAGAACTATTTTTTGAATTATATAACCAAACAAGTTATGCGACACGAAAAACTCCAAAACAGTTTTATAAAACTCTTCCTAAACGCAATTTTCAGATACTATTTTTTGAGACGAAAACTAACCAGTCTTCTAAGCTTTTTCTTTTCAGTTTTCATTTTATTGCAAAAATGGAGGGATGCAAAAAAAGGAAATAAAAAGAAGAGAAAAGTGAGAACATGCACATATAAAATAAAAGATACTACTGCTAGCCTTTGTTTGTTATCCTATTGTTCTGTGTGGTCCAAACACACGACTACAAAGAGGGTACAAAATAGACATAAGGGACCCCACTACCGTAAATCAGTTCATCTGTCCTTTACGTATGCATTATGTATTTGTTGTAAGTAGTAGTATTGTATTCATGATGACAATAATCTCTGAGGGGATCTTCCTTACAGATCTTTTCTTTTGTTGTGGGTATGGTTTGGCTATACAGCTACAGGACTTCACCTCCTTACATATGCTACTCAACTTTTCTGCACAGAACATAAAAAAACCAGAAGTTAAAAAAAATCTGTGTAATCTGTAATGTTGCAAACAACAAAACTATGGCTCTAAGGAACTAAATTTTGTTTCGCCAAAACATCTGGAAAGTTAATTAAATATTCCTATGCTTCAAGGTGTTTCAGTAAGTTTCAAGATGTTGGAAACAAATTTCCAAATTTTTCTTTAATCACATCCCATTTTTGAATATGCTCACCAAAACTATACACTACCGAAACAAAATTTCGATCCTTGCTCTGGCTACACGAGTAAAAATGGGCAAAGTTTGATGTTCTTACCCAGAACTAACTAAACCTCCCATGCTGGCCATTCTCACATCTAACAGCCACATTTCAATGGCTTCTTGTCCAGAACAAAACCCAGGTATATAAAGTTTCAAATTTTAACTACTCTCCCGTTCTTATGACGAGAGAAGCAATGATAGTCCCTTGGGAAGTAACGTGATTTGAGAGAAGCCATACTGAGGGTGGAACAGGTGGGCAGCATTGGGATACTTTTAGAAGATGTTATTGTGAGTTATTATCAGCTTCTACCGGAGCTGTGGAGAAGATAGACTGATTGCCAGCAGCTGCTTTTGTAGGAGATGCAAAGAGGTTGTCAGGAAGGATGTGCTCCAAGCTGCTATAATAAAGAAGAAAAAATCAGAGCGTAAGTGAGAAGCAAACATAAAGAAAATCCAATGGACAAAAAATCATTTACAACAAATATTAAACAGATGAGAGCAAATAAATATTTGATTGTTCAAGTGGATAGCCTTTATTTTCAGTAGTAAAATTGACATCTATATACCTTTCGCGGAAATCACAGTCTTCAAGGTTGGAGCCTTCCTCCTTGCCATTGCCATTTTCACCACCACTATTGCAAAGTTCATTAACATCCTGTGGCATCTTCTGATCGGCTGCAACAGTTCACTAATTAGCTCAATCTTGGCTACCATTATTCTCCGCAACAAGAACGTATAAAACCACCATCCTAACATATGAACCTCAAATAAACAATTGAAAACCAAAGACAGTTGTGATTAGTTTACCTTCAGGGACTTCTTGATTGATGCCATTAGATGGAAGCCCCACACCTTGATTGATTTGAGAATGCGATTGAGTTGGTGTTGAAATGGGAACAGAAAGCGATTGAACGTGATGACTATGATGATTCTTCATGTCCATAAGTTGCAAATTCATTAGTCTTCTGCCTTGGAGTTCAATGGCTTGCTGCAATCCAGCCTGCTCCTCCAATTTTCTTCTTAACATCATATCTTGAGTATTGTAGAGCATCCTTCCTCCTATAAAAAATGGTAATAGGAGGTTCAATACGTAAATCTACAATGTGAGGTCGTAAAGCAAGCTAACTTATTTGCGTACCAAAGGGAAGATCATAAGGCTCTCTAGAATCGAGCCCAGAAGGGCTTAAACACGCTGAAAACTCTCCTCTGTCCATCTGCTGCTGCTGCTGCTTCCTACAGGTTTAAATAACAAGCAATCATTAACGCAAGAAGCGGGCAATTCACATTTCTATCAAAGAAAGACATGGGATATAGCATCTATACTTGTCTGGTATTTTTCCCTTCTCCTTGTAGGGCTTAACAAGCACACGCGAATCACAAACGAAATGAGGGTTCCCTTTTGCCAAAATGTGCTTCACAGTCTCAGGATAGACAAACGTAACAAATCCAAACATCCGCTTATGTTGATACGGAATCCTAACATCGTGCACCGGTCCATACATACTTCATGACAATATGGAAAAAATCAAATTCAGTTTTCATATCCACTGGAGATTTTGAAAATTTAAATAACCATGTATCAATTACCTAAAGTAATTCGAAACATCCTCTTCCTTAAAGGTACTCTCAGCAGGAAATGTCAAGTAAATTTGTCGTGAGCTTGAATTTGCATTTCCACTCAATCCCATTGCCGCAAATTCATTTCTTTCAGGTAAGCACCGACCAAATCTATGAAATTCTTCCCCCATTACTAGTGCTGCTGCCGCAGATCTATAATGCAGCATAATACCACAAAGATAACAAAAATAATCAATTGAAAACCACAAAACAATATAACCATCGACAATTTAATTTGTGATAGACTGTCTAGAAGTGACAAGACACGCATTTATGAACACATCAATGATCCTACACATACACCCAAACACAAGCAGCACAAACACCTAGACACAAACACATTGAGCACAATGCAATCATAAATACTCCAAACAACCCAAATCCAAACATCTAAAATAAAAATAATACTAAAGCCACAAACTTTATTTGTACCACAATTAATACAAAGGCAGAGTGGGTCATTTACAGAGATATACCTCTGGTTATCATTGAGGAAGTTCATGCATTTGTTGTATGGGAAAGTATGAGCCCCAGGGGCCATGAGTTGCGCCGCGGCGACTAATCTCTGCTGCTGGATAGCCTTCATTCTGAGCAATTCATCAAACCCATCAACTTTGCTAGGAGAACCAACAATGGCACCAGTACCATCGGGTAAATCAGAGAACCCACCATGCAAGAACTTACAATTGCTCCCATTCTTGCAAAAGCCTCTAGCATAGTACATGCATGGCCTCCAACCAAACCCAATTCCACCATCTTCAGACCCATTACCACCAAGAAACACATCACTCACCGAACAACTCCTTCTATGAAGTTGGTGGTGGTGAGTGTCCCCACAACTCCCAGAATCCACCCAATTTCTACCACTACGCCCGTATGGGAACACAATTGAGTCACTCCGACCACTTGGACTCATTAAAGGATCGAGAAAATCAACACTCTTCGAAGAAGGCTCATCGAGAAATGACAACTGATCTTGACCATGAAGATCGTTATACTCTCTATCTAGATCACTACTGTTATTGTAAAATGGTAGTGGAAGTGGAGGGCTAGAACCAGATGAGAAAGACCCAGAAGGGTTGTTGCATGTTCCATTAACAACAGCAGCATAAGAGAGAGAAGAGGCTGGTCTTGGGCTTCTATGGTGGTCAAGAAAGGAGGAACCAGACCAAGGAGATGAAGGTGAAGATGGGTTTACATGAAACCCATTGGTGGGAATGACGATTCTGGGGGAAGATTGTTGAAATAGGTTGGGTCTTTTGGGGTTTGATATGGGGTTGAAAGGTGAAGCAGAGGAGGGAGTGGAAGGTGTAGATGAACTGTTAGACGGAAGTCCTAAGTAAGTTTTGGCTTGATTGATGAGGGAGACCAAAAGGGTTTCAGGGCCAAATGCTAATCTTATCATCTCTTTCTCTCCTTGGTCCTGTATCAGTATGTAACCCATGATTTTTGAGGCGTTTTCTGGATCCAAAGTTTGGATCCTTGACAACACTACCTTTGTAGCTTCATATTTATCCATGGTGAACTGCTTGTTAGTGAGAGGTGTGATAGCCACTGGCACCCTCTTGGTTTTGCCCTCAAGAAGACCTTCAGTTGGAGAGAGAGAGAGAGAGAGAGAGTGAAGGGGGGAGGTAGGGTTTTAAATAGTGAGTAAAAACACAAAAACCTTTTGGACAGTAAGGGGAAAATAGGGAAGGGGTTAGCGTGGTGTGCTTATTTTGGGGAATTATTAGGAAGAGGTGGCTAAGATTTAACCATGTTATAAAAGGTAATGATGGTTGGTGTTATATCATGTAATCATTATACCACCAAATATCCCTATGTAGAGGGGAGAAGGATAGATGTGATAAAAGATGGGACTCTCTCTCTCTCTCACTACCCATTAACTGCAAGCATTTTCACTGGCCAAAGTGAGTCAAAGGATTTGTTCAAACTGGCTCAGAAGTGGAGGGTTGAAGAAGGAGGAGGAGGAGGTTGGAATGGATTTTTTTTTTTGGGGGGCCGCTAAAGACAATTGCTTTGGTGGTGCTGCAGCATTGCCTTAAAACTTAGACCCACACTTTTGATAACAGTGCCACCTGCAGCCTAGGGGATAGTAAAACTCCCTCTCCCTCTCCCTCTCCCTCTCCCTCTCCCAGGCTAGTCTAGTCTCTCTCCTTCTCTCTGGTGTGTTGTGTGGGGTTGCCTTTGCAGAACAAGGCTAAGTGGAAGGCAGGGAGGGTAGTCGGTGGATTCAGATCTGCTTAAAGGGATTGAGGATGGTGTTTAATAAAATTAAAAATTGAAATTTGAAAGTTGAATGTTAAATTTATAGACTGTTTGGTATCCACTAAATTTTAAGTACTGAATTGAACTAAATTGTTTGATAACTATAAAGAGCTCATATCTAAAAATAAATTTATTTTTATTTTTATCCTTCTATTCTTTAATTTAAAATTTTTTATAAAATATGTCATAACATAAGTCATAATCAGTATTATCATATTATAGTCTATATTTAACAAACATATGATAAAAATAAATAAATAATATCTGAATAACATAATAAGTGAACAATAAAATCTTATCAAAAAAAAAAAAAACTAATATGTGTGTGTAACTATATGTGTGTACAATGCGTGCGTATGTGTGTGCGTGTAATTATTTATTATGTATATTTTTGTTGCAGAAGACAAGGGAATGAGAAGAAGAAGAAGAAGATAAGAAAGAAGATTTATCTATTATCCGCTAAAGAAGAGATCAGCAAGGAGGATAGATAGGTTAGGAGTTTTGAAAATAAGACTGATTAAAGTTTAATAGGATTATAAAATATTTTGGGGTATAATTGTCATATTATAAATATTTTTAAAGACGATTTTGTTGAGTGCTTTTAGCTTCTACTTAATATTTTAGCTTATTTTTAAGGAGTACATAACATATTAAGAGAGTTTAAATTTAAATTTTGGTTATCAAACGAACTTAATTAATAAGTGCCGAATATATTCATTTTAAGTGTTGAATTTGGGTTAACAAACACACCCTAACTCTGGTTCTGATAATCAAAAAATAATTTTTTGTGACCAAGAAAAAAAAATTATTTTTATGAATTTATTACTTTTCAATTAATTATTAAAAATTATTCAAATTAAAATCTAGCAATCTACACCAAGTTTGATACAGTGCAAACGACTGTACCAATCAATATTCACTTGCTCACTCTCCTTGATGTTGAACCTAATAATACTCCCAAAATGCAAACCAGCTATGAGTTAAGGTAACAGATGGGATCAACTTGGCAATATCAACAATTTAGGTAAGGATTGCCAATGGGCCAGGCCTGTCTGGCCCAGCACAAAGCCCAAAGGGCCAGCCCATTACATCTTTTCTAGTCGGATCGGGTATTAAACGTGTCATAATTGGACTTTTATTTTATTATATTTTTATTAAATGTTTATTTTTATTACATTTTTTGAAATCATAAATTGGAACACTGCAACAAAAATTAGAATAAAAAAATCAAATTTATTTTTTGAAATAAACAATTACGTATTGGAGGTGAGGATAAGGTACATCAACATGAGTAAACCCCACCCCCACTAAGTTGACAGCTATATATCTAACAATCATTGGGAATTTATTAGCCTGGTAATGAAATTTAAATCTAAAAATTTAACTGATTTACTATAATGCTTGAATTGACTATAGATCTCATCAAACATTCGAATTTCATCTTTATTTAATTGTTCTAATAAAATCACATCATCAGGTTAGCAAATGAGGTCATATTTTTGTGTTTGAATAACATTATTCTAAGTTTAAATATTTTAGTGGTGGTCTTTATGCAAATTTACTTAAGTACTTCCTAATGCACAGTCAAATGAGATACAGATTCTCTCTATTACACTTTTCACTCATTTTTACTCGGTGATAGATCACCCATCATTAATACACGTGTAACCCAATAATTACTAGTAGACTCCTCACTCATATAAGATATATGATTTACCGTTGAGTAAAATTGAGGAAAAGTATACCGGAGAAGATCTCAATCCGATCAAATATATGCACTTTTTTTTCCTATAGTTGAAATATAAGTGAGTATTTAACATATAAGTGAAGAAATTGAATTCTTTTCGACTTACCCAAAAATCGTAAGATCTTTAGTAAATTACTATGTTATTGACACGTAATTAACACCCAGTAAAATGGGACCCAATTAGGAGTTTATTTATTATCAGAGTTAGATTGTCAAATTGTACCCACTAATTATTATCGTTTGCCTGACGTGTAAATTAAAAATTGGTTGCCTGTAAACCCAATTGTTTATGGGTGAGCGAAAAAGAATTTAATCGCAAAAGGGAATAGATTTGTTAAGGTTAAAGGAAGGGTCTAGAGAAATAAAATAAATATAGTTTTTATTAATTTTATAGAATAACACAATCATGAAAATGAAAGGTTTCAGCGAGTATTTTTCATATGAACTGTTATGTCTTGATCCAACATTCCATAATGAAAGAAGTTCAAAATTTAATGCGAAAACCTAAGAAATTTAAACTTAGAAGGAAAATTTCAACACCATATTAATGGTGGTATTTAATATTATCAAGGACAGTGTATTTAATATTAAATTGTTAAAATTGAGAAAAAAAGGACAACTGTCTCTATTAATTAAGAACACCATGAAAGAAGAGAAAAAATAAGAACAAGAAGAGGAGAAGACCAAAAAGATGATGAAGAAATCAAATGTTTAGGCATGTAATATTTGATTATTAGGGTAATTCGTGCCTAAAAATATGATGTAATATAAATAATTTTGAAAAAAAATGTTAGTAGTCGTTGTACGAGTCTATTTTAAACCGTTGAATGAATTTATTGAACTCTCCTATATTTTATATTATAGATGTTCCAACCTCGAGATTTAATATGAATATTTTCATCATCATATGTGGAATATGAACAACCAATTAATTTGTCATCCATGTAATCTTGACAATGTGTTGGACCATAATGACACATGAAATAACTCTTTGGTATCAAATCTTGGTTTTGTTTTCTCCGATGAAAGAACATATGTGAAAAGATGAGAGTTGGTCACCCAAAGCCTTTGAACTTCAACTCATTGCTGATAATGTTAAAAGTAACTTATGCTCTGTTTGGTAGGAAAAATAGAAAATAGAAAGGATGAAAAGTATGAGGGGTGCGTTTTCTATCCTTCAATGATGACAAATAAGAGGGATATACTTTCCTTACTTTGTGTTTGGTTGGATGGATGAAAAATAAAAATGACTATTTTTTTTTGTGTTGGCTAAAATTAAGGGTGACAATAGAGTTGTGTCGTGTCAGATTCATGTTGAATCATTACGGGGTTTGTATCGAATATTAGTCCAACATAACTTAACTCATTTAACTAATTGTGTCGTGTCGAGTTGCGAGTTGACATGTTTATTTTCGTATCGAGTTCGAATCGTGTCATCGTGTTGAGTCGAAAATGTTCACTTTTAGTTAAGATGGAAAATATATTTTTTTTTAATTTAAATTTTTAAATTTTTTTTTAAAATTTATTTAAAATATATATATATATACATACATATTTTACCATTATATTTTTATATGAAATTAATATATACATAATTTATGTATATATAAAAAGATATATAGACAAATAAGATATATTTTAACACAAATAATTAACTTTTCATCCACTTTCCTTCCGATTTTGGAGGAATTGATTTTTGTGAGTTGAAAGGAAAGTTAATTCATCCACTTTTTCATCCTTCCTACTTTCTTTCCTTACCAAACATGATATTTTATTTATCCTTCTAACTTTTCATCCTTCCAACTTTTCATCCTCCTATTTTTCCATCGTACCAAATAGAGCATTAAAATTTTAAGATTGTAGGATGTACTTGGAAATATTGAAGCAATTTTACAAAATATGACTACAAAGAAGGAGAGTCTCTTGTTTTTCATAGTCATCTTGATTAGGGTTGATAATTGAACTGAATTTTGTAAGCTTGAGTCAAATTTATCGAGCTCATTTTTTTAAACGAGTCTAAATTTTTTTAGAAAATGAATTGAACTTAGAAAACGAATTTAGAAAATGAACCGAGCTCGAACTGAGTCCAAAACAAACCGAACTCAAGGCAAGTCCAAATAACTCGACTATTATATATATAAACGAGTTTGACGAGCTCGAGTCAAGTATTTTATGCTCGTTTAGAAAACGAGTATAAAAAATTGTTAAAGTTTAGATTAAAATATCTTTTTAAGTTCACATAACTAAATTTGTTTGGTTTTTGCATTGAATTTTGAGCTTTTTTTCACCGGGAAATGTTAGGATTAATATTTAATGGCCAATATAAAAAGTACTCGCTAAAGCCTCTAGTGCATAACTTCCATCATCATTGAAGTAGGTTACCATAAAAAGGCACAAGAATGAAACCCCGACCAAGAGAGATGAATATAATTAAAATACCTATTGTAATTAAAAATATAAAAGGGTGGTTAAAGGATTTATTTTAGTCAAATGATAAATGTGATTAAAATATTTACTATGATTTAGTTCAAA